TTCTCTGCTCTCTCTCTGCAGGAAATGGACATCGAGGTGGATGAGAACGGCACCCTGGACCTGAGCATGAAGAAGCCCATCAAACGGGAGGGCAGCCTGTCCGGCACCAGCCCCGGAGTTCGGTCCCCGGACCCTTCGTCCTCTTCCTCTTCCTCGCTCCACCACGGAGGGAGCAGCGGGATGACGTCACCGAACCTGCACAGCTACAAGCAGGAGGACTGGGAGGGACCTCTGGACTACACCAAACCCAACCGCCAGCGGGAGGAGGAAATGGACGAGGTCAGTGCAATTAGACGGAGTGAAAGCACGAGCCGCAAACTTGCTTTAATTCCTGTGATTTTATTCACGGAGGAGATATTGCAACATAAATAACAACAGACTAAATTGCCCCGAAGCTTTCTGAATAAAAAACTCTTTGTTTACATCACTTTGTCTTTGTCTAATCCCCTTTCCTTATTTCCTGTCCCCTTTTCCTCCTTCTATTATTCATTTATTTCACTGAAATGCGAGAGTTACTGTACAGTTAAAACATTGCACTGTGTAACAGAGGTGGTGTGTCAGGTGCATTGCACCATCCTGGATTTGGCATATGCTAATTTTTACTCCTTTGAACTTTTTCAAAAGAAATATAAAGGGCCTTGAATGTAAATTTTTTATGAGGACACTCTGCATTTGGAAACATCACTTGTCGACAAAAGAATAAAAGGCTTCGGAGACTTGTGTGCACTCGCTGTTTTGCAAAGTTTTTCTGCTTGTATACAAACATGGAAACTATTGTGAGAAAGCCACCGTTCAAAAAAAGGCCTTAAAAATATCAAACCTGCACAACGGGACAATTTAAATGAAACAAAAAGCCTAACAGAGAGGGTGTTCTTGATGTCCAGATGGAGCACACTGGCCAGTCGTACGTCTCCTCAGACCTGGAGGACTGTGACATGATGCAGGATTGTCTGGAGGACAGGAAGTACCCGGGAGAGGTCACAACCCCGAGCTTCAAGGTCAAGTTTCAGCCCAAGGACGCCAAGAAAGAGCTGCTCTCGTAAGTAACAGGACAAAGAGGCTGCAGCCACATTAGTGCCATGATAACACTGAGGTTTACTGTTGGCCATGTTCACCTACAGCAGGGGTGGGCAATCCTGGTCCTCGAGGGCCACAGTCCTGCATGTTTTAGATGTTTCTCTCTTCCAACACACCTGATTCAAATGGTCAGCTCATCATCAAGCTCTGCAGAAGCCTGATAACGATCCTGATCATTTGAATCAGGTGTGTTGGAAGAAGGGAAACATCTAAAACATGCAGGATTGTGGCCCTCGAGGACCAGGATTAGACACCCCTGACCTACAGAGTGTAGTTCAGGGCATTAGCTCGCTAACACAGAACACAGCTGGTGGCTTTTTGCAGGTTGAGATTGTTGTCTTTGCAATCCAGAGTGTCGTTATTTCACAGTGGTGGACAGACCAAGATTATATCTGCAGAATCAGGCTAGAAATGACAGTAAAGGAGGATAAANAAATATAAATGAATAATCAAAGACATCGAACTTTTGCTTTTTTTTATGATTCATGACGTTATAGCTGTGTTTTATGTCACAGTAGAGTCCTCTCTTCTTCTAGTCTTGGTTTCCCCAGAGGTGCAGGACTTTAAATTACAGTTAAAAATGAACCAACAGTGAAGAAAAATGTGACAGGAGCAAAAAAAAAAGCACCCTGAAACTGCCTGGGGCTCAGTAAGTTCAAATGAAGCACAATATCATTTTTCTTTCTGTTGATTCTGCTGTTGGTGTTATATCCCAAAAAAACAAAGTTAGATGAGCAGATGTGTGTTTAACATGAAGCTACATGCGTGTGGTCTGTTTGGTTAAAAAGCAACAAACTGTGGTTTTGCAGCCCTGCATTCTGTTAGCTTAGCTCACCATAAACACTGGAAGCAGGTCCAGCTTGACTGTGGTTCTCCAGCAACCCCCTTTGCTTCAGCGTCTTCACTTCTACGTACCTGCATACTAACAAGAGTGTCGTTAAGATGTGTTCCCTCTTCCACTGTTGCTAAAGTCAACTTTTGGTCCTCTCTCAGCTAAGCCCTCATTCCCCAAGTCCTCGTCGCCCAGCCTCAGCCTCCACGCTTACGGGAAGAGCTCCTCCCTGGTCTACGACTACTCCCACGACGCCGAAGCTGCTCACATGGCCGCCACTGCCATCCTCAACCTGTCCACCCGCTGCTGGGAGAAGCCCGAGAACCTCAGCACCAAACCCCAGAACAAGGTAAACCCACCTCAGGTGCCTTTAGACAAGAGTTTCTCCTTCACACAGTTAAAACAGCATCACAAATACATTCATTACTGCCTGGTTTATGGGTAAAGATGAGTCAAGTGTGGAGGGTTCTTCTTCTTCTTCTTCTTCTCTCAGTCACGCTTGGAGAAAGAGATTATTAGCTGATTGTAATGCAGATTAAACACTGGAGGCCACAGCTGGTGAGATGAGAGAGGAGAGCACTGGGAGAGTCTCCTCTCCTTTCCTTTCCTTTCCTTTCCTTTCCTTTCCTTTCCTTT